ATATATTTTCATTACAATAATATTTTTGTTATAAATAAAACGTAATACAATTTAAACTAATTTATATTTGAAGTTTTAATAAAAAACGACGAGTTACTATCTAAATTTTTAGAGATTGCTGAAAAATTACAATTATTATTTGAATATTCAAAAACTTAAAGTTACTTTTTAAGTTTTAAAGTTGAAAAAAAATGATGGATTATTTTGCGAATTTTTGAGGTTACTGAAGGAGTAATGATATACTCTATAAAAATATATATAAAATAAAAATTAAGAATTAACATATGAATTTTTAAAGTTTTTATTTGATTTCTCTATGGACAAATCATACGACTATATACAAATGGTTAAAATTTCTAAAATTATAAAATAAATGATGTATATATTTTTTTATAAATAATAAGGCGTAGTCTTTCTAATTTATTGGTTTTAAATTTGATTAATATATAATACAAATAAAAATTATAATTACTACATATTAATAATAGGTAGGGAATGCAAATAACAACCCTTATTTTAAATCTTTTTTTTAACATAATTATGGTTACAATCATGTGGTTTACATTTTTTAATGTATTGGTCCCTTGCTGTTGACTTTACAAAAATTTTCTTGTTAAGTAATTTAATTAGAAGGCATTTTAATCATTATACCAATTTTCTTATTTTGTAGTGCATGTATCCCTCTCGTTGACATTAACAGAAGTTGTTGGAGTAGCTTCAAACTCCACTTGCAACCCTTCTTTTTCTTCCCTACCTCCTACTTCCTCAACCCAAACAAGGTTAAAGAACATGAATTATGTTCACATGGACATAACAAGGACCTCAAGCCTTACACGTCACTGTGAGAACGAGACGTTTTTTTAATGCTTGATATAAGACAATAAATCTGTATGTCATATATATATATATATATATATATACTACATATATAATCATTTAGGTCAATATCTTAATTACAACTCTTAAAACATAAGTTACAATGGTTTTATGCATCAAATTCAAAAAACTCTTAAACACAAGTCACAAAGCATATGGTACAAGCTTTTTATGCATTGACTTTAAGTGACAAATGCAGCAGATAAGGTCAAAAATGTTTTTTTTTACCTTCTTCTTCATGAAATTTCCTGCTCCAATCTCTTCCCCGCCAAACCATTTTGGGTAAGTTTAAAAAGTTTTCTCTATTTTCTTCTTTTCCAGCTTCTTTTTCATGAAATTTTTTGCGCCAAAACCAAAATAGTAAGGTCAGCATACCATTTCTTCGATGGCTGCAAACCTTGCACAAATGGGCGGTTCCAAAAAGTCTTAATCGATGCATATAACCTGAATTTGGAGGTTTTGATTTGTCCACAGCTTCTTCAAAACCCGAGCAATTTCTCTGAGGTATTCACTTGGTTCTTCTTGTTGATAATTTTGATCTATGATTCTCTTCTCTTCCTGCTGTTTCCAAAAATAAATAATGAAGTAAATAATGAATACTTCATGTTGATAATTTTGATATTTTTTTCCCATGAGAGTGAATCAGATTTTGAGGAAAGACTCAACGATTTGATCACGTATATGTATGGAGGTCTTTCTTTTGGTGTTGAGATCTTCATTTGTAAGAGCAACTCCAACCTTCACACAAAAAAAAAAAAAACCAAAACACCAAATCTGGTGGGACCATAAAAAAAAAAAAAAACTCAACTCTAATCACACTTTAAAAAACACTAAATTTGTGGACCCCACATTAAAATAACATATTTTATTTACTATTTTTAATAACAATATTTATAATTTGTAATAGATATTATAATAATAAATAATTAGTAATTWATTTATTTAATGAAGAAATGTTAAAATAAAAACGATAAAAATTGTAATTAATAAATTTTATATTTAAAAAGATTACATTAGTTCAAATAGCACAAATTAAAAAAAAACACATAAATAATACTAATTCTCCGAGTTAGTATATTCGTCCCAGAAATGATCAATTAATGCATTACAAAGTTCAAAGTGAGCATCTTTATCCTTGATCTTTTTGTGTCGAGCAAGAAACTGTTCAAGTCCACCATCGTTCATCATCTCAACTCCCACGTCTTGCACTTCACTTCGTTCTTCAATTGGTGCATTAATATCACGTTCATCTACTATGATCATATTGTGCATAATGATGCACGAAGTCATTATATCATGCAATATTTCCTTCCTCCATAATCGTGCAGGTCATGCTACTATTGCAAACCTTGATTGCAATACGCCAAATGCATGTTCTACGTCTTTTCTATATGCTTCTTGTTTCTTTGCAAAATATTGTTTTTAGGGCCACGTAGATCGTGAATAGATTGAACAAGAGTGGCTCATTTTGGATATATGCCATCAACTAAATAATAACACATATTATATGATTTGTCTTTGATGATATAATTTGCAGGAAGAGCAGTACCTGCTACAAGATTTGCAAAAAGATGGGAGCACTCCAACACATTATGTCATTGTGGGACCCCGGTAAACCAAAATATGCACGCCATATCCAAAGATCATAGTCAGCTACAGCTTCTAGAATAATACTTGGAGATTTACTACGACAGGAATAATTTCCTCCCCAACCGGTTGGACAATTCTTCCATTTCCAATGCATACAATCTAGACTACCTAACATTCCTGAAAAACCTCGTTGTTCTCCAACTTGGAGTAGTCGTGCCACATCATTATAATTGGGTGTTCGGAGATAGCAGTTCTCCAAACACCTCCACGATGGCACGACAAAATCGCTTCAAAGCTTCTAAAACCGTCGATTCGCCTATTTTAACGTACTCATCTGTAGCATCTGCAGCCATGCCATATGCCAACATTCAAAATACAGCAGTAACTTTTTGATAACGGGACAACCCAAGTTTGCCGCATCCATCCCTTCGTTGGAGAAAGTAGTTGTCATGACTTTGGATAGCATCCAAAATACGAAGAAATAAAGTACAACTCATTCGGAATCGTCGACTAAACATCGACTCAGGAAATCGAGGATTTTTAAAAAAAAATAATCATTGAAGAGATTGCGGTCGACATTTTCCCGATCGCAATTGATAACTATATGGCCAGGAATAGAACCACGATAAGATACATGATTGTTTTGAGCATAATTTCGGATATAATTATCCATTTCAGACGCTAGATTGAATGCCTCGACCATTAGTTCGGCATTAGTATTATCAAAAGCATCATCATCTGAATACAAATTATCAGCCATTTGAGTGGTATTTCTCAACAAAGAAGATTGCAAAATATAGTTGAGATCTTTTTTTATAGCTGTGATTCAAGTTTTATAGTGAGAATCAGTGGTGTTGTCAATTCTCACCAGACTTTTCAGAAGAATCTTGCCAGACTTTTCAAAAGAATCTTGCCAGACTTTTCAGAAACCAGACTTTCAGAAGAATCTTACAAGTGTGTTGTCTAATCTGTCTTCATTTGGAGTGAACTGAAAATTTTGTGTATAAATAGGGGGTGAGTCGGTAAGCTAAATTACACACATTTTCATTGAGATATTACCAGCCTTTTCATAAAAATGTCTTCAACAATCTGAACTTCATCCTACAAAGATAACGAAGACATACAACTATGTTGCTGTTATCTTGATATAACTCAAAATCCAATAGTAGGTAGAAACCAATCAAGAGATAAGTTTTGTTCAAGGGCAGAAACTCTTTATCACCAAACCGAACCGTTCGCAAACAATCCTCGACCAAGAAGATCATTGGAAACGAGAATGTCTTGCATTCTAAAAGCTTGTAAAAAATTGCAAGGGTGTATCAATTAAGTTGAATGAGGAATCCAAGTGGTGCTTCTGAACAACATATCGTAAGTATTTATTGTTTTAGTTGATCATTGTTTTATTAATTTAAATATAATGTGTATTTTTCATAGATGAACGAAGCGAAAGAGATGTTAAAACTTGACGGATCCTATAAGAAGGGTTTTAAGTTTGATCATGTCTGGGACATCTTGAAAGACTCCGAGAGTTTATCAAATGTCACTGCATCAACTTAGTATCAACGACAAAGTCCTTATCAATCACCTTCTTCCGGTCCTGGTTCATCATCTGGGACAGATGCCGGTTTACCGTCGTTGACTATTCACGACGCAGAAGGTACTCAAAGACCAATTGGTGTGAAAAAGGAAAAATCAAGGCTCCAATCTGATAATAAGCTAGAGACCTTATTCAAGGCTAGTAAAAAATGAGCAAACAAATAGCCAAAAGCAATGAAGTTATGATGCGAAGGAATGAGCTTCAAGCTCATAAACTTGCATTAGAGTCAAGGTTGGCGGATGACAAACTTATGTTCACCGATCTAAACTCTATCACTGATCCTGTGTGGTATGAGTTCATAAAAAATGAGAAAATTCGAATAGCGAGAGAGAGAGCGGAACCTAGGTTCATATGTTTGGACAAGGATCATAATTCGTATCATCTCAATATCGAGTATCTCAACATCAACAATTTGGAGGAGCTCAAGACCAAGCCGAAGGATCTCATAACGTAGCAGGAAGCTTTAGTCAGTTTATGCCTAGCGGAGACGATTGGACCCTTTAATTTATGTATTTTAGTTTTTAAAATTTACATTAATAAACTATGTTTATGTTTATCCGGTATCATATTTGTGTTTTTAATAACTTATTATATATATATATATATATATATATATATATATATATATTTACATAATAAATATAAAAACCTAAAACATAATATTTGTAATTATTTATTTATAATTTATTAAAAAACTATTTATTTAAGAAAAGGTGGTGGGGACCACCCTTTTGGCAAATGTGCCGTTCATCTCCTTCACGACAAATATACCTTTTATTTCCTTCCTCCGACAAAACGTTGGTGTTTTTGGCGTGCGATTGGATCCAAGAGAACGGCAAAACTAGGGTTTTGTCGTTCGATTGGAGTTGGCAAAAAAGATTGGAGTTGGCAAAACCCTAGTTTCTAAGCTTGAAGCTCATTCCTTCGCATAATAACTTCATTGTTTTTGGCTATTTGTTTGCTCATTTTTTTTACTAGCCTTGACTAAGGTCTCTAGCTTATTATCATATTGGAGCCTTGATTTTGCCTTTTTGACACCAATTGGTCTTTGAGTACCTTCTGCGTCGTGAATAGTCAACGATGGTAAACCGACATCTGTCCCAGACGATGAACCAGGACCAGAAGAAGGTGATTGATAAGGACTTTGTCGTTGATACTGAGTTGATGCAGTGACATTTGATAAACTTTTGGAGTCTTTCAACATGTCCCAGACATGATTAAACTTAAAACCCTTCTTATAGGATCTGTCAAGTTTTAACAGCTCTTTCGCTTCGTTCATCTATGAAAAATACACGTTATATTTAAATTAATAAAACAATGATCAACTAAAACAATAGATACTTACGATATCTTGTTCAGAAGCACCACTTGGATTCCTCATTTCAACTTGATTGATACACCCTCACAATTTTTCGCAAGCTTTTAGAATGCAAGACATTCTCATTTCCAATGATCTTCTTGGTCGAGGATTGGTTGCGAACGGTTCGGTTTGGTGATAAAGAGTTTCTACTCTTGACCAAAACTTATCTCTTGATTGGTTTCTACCTATTATTGGATTTTGAGTTATATCAAGATAACAGTGACATAGTTGTATGTCTTCGTTATCTTTGTAGGATGAAGTTCGGATTGTTGAAGACATTTTTATGAAAAGGCTGGTAATATCTCAATGAAATTGTGTGTGATTTAGCTCATCGACTCACCCCCTATTTATACACAAAATTTTCAGTTCACTCCAAATGAAGACAGATTAGACAACACTCTGGCAAGATTCTTCTAAAAAGTCTGGCAAGATTCTTCTGAAAAATCTGGTAAGAATTGACACCACCACTGATTCTCACTATAAAACTTGAATCACAGCTATAAAAAAATATCTCAACTATATTTTGCAATCTTCTTTGTTGAGAAGTACCACTCAAATGGCTGATAATTCGTATTCAGACGATGAGGCTTTTGATAATACTAATGCCCGAACTAATGGTCGAGGCATTCAATCTAGCGTCTGAAATGGATAATTATATCCGTAATTATGTTCAAAACAATCATGTATCTTATCGTGGTTCTATTCCTGGCCATATAGTTATCAATCGTGATCGGGAAAATATCGATCGCAATCTCTTCAATGATTATTTTTCTGAAAATCCTCGATTTCTTGAGTCGATGTTTCGTCGACGATTCTGAATGAGTCGTATTTTATTTCTTCGTAATTTGGATGCTATCCAAAGTCATGACAACTACTTTCTCCAACGAAGGGATGGATGCGGCAAACTTGGGTTGTCCCGTTATCAAAAAGTTACTGCTGTATTTCGAATGTTGGCATATGGCGTGGCTGCAGATGCTATAGATGAGTACGTTAAAATAGGCGAATCGACGGTTTTAGAAGCTTTGAAGTGGTTTTGTCGTGCCATCGTGGAGGTGTTTGGAGAATTGCTATCTCCGAACACCCAATTCTAATGATGTGGCACGACTACTCCAAGTTGGAGAACAACGAGGTTTTCCAAGAATGTTAGGTAGTCTAGATTGTATGCATTGGAAATGGAAGAATTGTCCAACCGGTTGGGGAGGAAATTATTCCGGTCGTAGGAGATCTCCAAGTATTATTCTTGAAGCTGTAGCTGACTATGATCTTTGGATATGGCATGCATATTTTGGTTTACCGGGGTCCAACAATGACATTAATATGTTGAAGTCCTCCCATCTTTTTGCAAATCTTGTAGCAGGTACTGCTCCTCCTGCTAATTATATCATCAAAGGAAAATAATATAATATGGGTTATTATTTAGATGATGGCATATATCCAAAATGGATCACTCTTGTTCAATCTATTCACGATCTACGTGGCCCTAAAAAACAATATTTTGCAAAGAAACAAGAAGCATGTAGAAAAGACGTTGAACGTGCATTTGGCGTATTGCAATCAAGGTTTGCAATAGTAGCAGAACCTGCACGGTTATGGAGGAAGGAAATATTGCCTGATATAATGACTTCGTGCATCATTATGCATAATATGATCATAGAAGATGCACGTGATATTAATGCACCAATTGAAGAACGAAGTGAAGTGCAAGACGTGGAGTTGAGATGATGAACGATGGTGAACTTGAACAGTTTCTTGCTTGACACAAAAAGATCAAGGATAAAGATGCTCACTTTGAACTTCGTAATGCATTAATTAATCATTTGTGGGACGAGTATACTAACTCGAAGAATTAGTATTATTTATGTGTTTTTTTAATTTGTGCTATTTGAACTAATGTAATCTTTTTAAATATAAAATTTATTAATTACAATTTTATCATTTTTATTTTAACATTTCTTCATTAAATAAATTAATTACTAATGATTTATTATTATAATATCTATTACAAATTATAAACATTGTTATTAAAAATAGTAAATAAAATATGTTATTTTAATGTGGGGTCCACAAATTTGGTGTTTTTCTCAGAGTGTGATTTGGAGTTGAGTTTTTTTTTTTTTTTGGTGTTTATAGGCCCACCAGATTTGGTGTTTTTGGTGTTTTTTTTGGTGTGAAGGTTGGAGTTGCTCTTAGTAATCATGTTTGTTCTTTAAATTTTTTGATTTTCTACCCAACCACATCCTTTTTTGTTCCTATTGTTAATTTCACATGATTGTTCTTTAAATTTGGTTTGTTTGTTCTTTAAATTTGTTGGAATGGTGGATTTGGGTTTGTTTTTGGTTGCTGCTAGCCACTTTAAAACATAATATCCAAACTTATAGTCTAACTGTAAAATAAGCAATGACCATCTTGGTGCTTTTTCATGATATTTCAATAGCTTATAGTCTAACTTTAGTCCATGGGCTGTTGCTCTTTGATCTGGCCCATAGGGGTTGTTAACACTGCAGTCAAGTGTTGTGTGTGTACTGTGCTTAAACTGTAATTAATAGCTTTTGAAGGTATGTGGATTTCATGAACACCATAACTCAACCTGCTGTAATGCGTACAAATGTCTAAGAAATTCTGTTGTAAGTCCATATTTAACACTGGTAACAGAACTACCAAAACAACAGGTTATTAATGCATACAGAGGTCTAATCTGTCTCTGTGCACATATATCCTATTGTTCCATATTTTGTCCATGAACATGCATCCAGGCTTTTGTTTTTTTCAATCCATCACTAAACACAACTAAACCTTGTGCCTGCTGCTGCTGTCATGTACACAACTAATACAACAAGTATTTCACAACTAAACCCTATGCCTGTTGCTGCTGTTAATGTATGAGGATTTACATTCTCAAGCCTCATGGTCTTTAGTGCACATGGTCTTGAAGAACAAGCAAGAGTTCAAGGAAAAGCAAACTGGTCCAACTAAATGTGCATATGAATAACATAATAACCTTTTCATTTGCAAGTTGGTCTAACTAAATATGATGTTGTCATGGTGGTATAGTCAAAACAAAAAGTGTTTGTATACATACCTTCCATACATAAGATGTGAAATTTAATTATGCACTTAAACTCTAAATTAAGATATGAGTTTGGTTTAGTATATAAAGTCCTCTTCTATGCTGCTGCTGTCATTGTTTCTCTAGGTTTAGAATTTGCTATATATTTCATCTTGTGAAAAGCAGCTGTTAAATGTCAGATTACATATTCTGTTTTGTTTAGCCATATGCATATGCTTTGATCTAATAACACACACATTGTTCTATCTATGATGACCACTTGGTAAGTTGTCAATCATAACAAGTCTTTGATTTGCAATGAAGTGTCTGTTGCATGAATGAGTTGCTATAAAGAATAACTTTATCCTAAACACAGTTGTTAAGGCATTGGTTGACACACCTGCATTGTCCCTGTGCACATTACCATATGCTGCTGTCATTTTTGGGTTAGATATAGATATAGATAGAAATGAATGAGGATTTACATTCAAGGCAATTAACAGTTGCACAGTGTATGACTTGTTTCTTCATGTGCCTGCTTCCTGCTGTTGACCTACCTAATTAACCATTCCCTATGACTGTTTTCTTCATGTGATTGTTTGCTTTTAACAATGTGTGCTTAACTTGATGAATCCTCTTTTACATCTCTTTGTTGTAACTTGAGCATAAAAGGACCCATGAATGTTAGTAGTAAAAATCCAGTCAAAAGGTTTGGGACTGCATTCTGTTTCTGTTTCAAGTTGAAATAATAAATAAAAGACAATCACTGGTTTTTAGCTTCTTCCATTGCATCTTATACACAACTACAAATCTGCTTGAGCATGTGTTAGCCTCTTTCTAGGTCTGTTTCCAACTTTGGCAAAGCATGCCTATGTAACATAAATGAAAAATAGTTATGCAACTTGCACTGAAAATGAAAAAAAGTTATGCAACATTAAGCATGGAGCGTTAGTGCACAAGGATCAATATAAAAACTTGTAAAGTCATTTTTAATTCTTTGTTTCCAAAAGTAAATAATGAAGTTTTTGTTGTGAGGTCGTTCTAATGGGAATGCCCATGGGAATGAAAAAGTAAATAATGAATTCTTTGGTGGTGAAGGCGTTCTAATGGGAATGCCCATGGGAATGAAATTTTTGTTGCTCCTCAATCTAATGGGAATGCCAATGGGAATGAAGCTTTATGAAATGCTTTCTCTTCCTACTGTTTGTAAATAATGAAGTTTTTGTTGCTCCTCAAATGTCACCAAAATCTTCAAGGTGTATGTAATGTTGCAGTCTTAAGATTCCTATTTTCTTTAGGTTGTTAATGACTTGTTGAATCCATCAGGACAAATTTAAGAATCAGGGAGGATAGTCAGGTAACTTTTTCGTATATCACGTTGATGCTTGCTTTCTCATGTTGTCTCCATACAATGTCAATGTCCAAATTAATCAGTGTTGGAATATTCAACTTGAATCACAATTAACCGTGTGGCACATGAAGTGACATTTAGGCAATATATACCTTCTGGTGTTGTTTCATAATGTGTTTTTTTCACATGTAATTTTTGAAATCCAACATATATGCAAATTTTCATCTAATAACCAGAAAGCCTCCTAAGTCTACATAGGCGTCACATGCCAGAAAATTCTGAAGTCCTGTCCTTTTATTTTGTATTCTTCTCTGCCAAGTTTCTCTGTCAAAGGGGACGTTGGTTTCTACTTCTTCCTATTCCATTCTTTATTTTCTTCTTCGTGTGTATTTGTCTCTTCTATTTGCTTATGTTGCATATCTGCACTGACTGTTGCTTATTGTTCAGTTGGTCTCAATATCTTTTAGGGTATTTATTTATGTCTACATAGGATGAGACATGTTAATAGAGTTTGATCAACAACTTTTTGATGTATCGCTTTGGTATGGGTTTAGATGTTCCAACGACATTTCTTTGTTAAGTTATTTATCAATTTTATTTAAAGAATATCTACATGTACATCCA